ATTTGAACAAATCTTTGAATGTCTATTAATGAACATTTAATTTCACAAACCTTGCAAACTTAGTCGAATCCAGTTGAGATCTTGTGAAGTGTGCATGTGTATCCTGCATGATCGCATGTTCTCTGTGTGACGGTCGGTCTGTCCAAATTGAATGTGGACAGGAGGAGAGTTCAGCTTCACTGGAGACACGCGATCGACAAACTTTAAACTCGTGATTTTAAATTATGCTGCGCTTTATCCATTTGCCCACTGCCATATTCATGTCAATTTCACTGTGTGTTGTATGTAAAATGACTGTTACCTTGGCTTTATTTGAAAAAATATGATTCCCAATGCACACAAACTTCCCAGATTAGTTAGTGCCCTGTTGGTTACTATGTTGACTTTTTATTAAATATTTATTTATTTGTGAAAAATACATTGTCATCTAAAGTATAAGTATGTTTATTTTACACATTTATTTTTAAATCCATTTTCAAATGATTTCAAATGTCTTAAACATTAATTAAAATAAATACAATTATATCGGCTTAATATTGGCCACCCTGCTTTCCAAGATATCGGCATCGGCTGTCAAAAAAACAATATCGGTCGACCACAATTTATATTCATAAATGTGTTAATTTGTGAAGATTATCATGATGAACAAAACATGTAAGAACCATAAGCCTTCGTTGGTCACAAGCTTATTTTCTGCCATAATCCAAAAGTCAATGGGAAAATCCTCTTTGGTTTCGGTTGATGGATAACTTCGGACTGGCCTACAAAAACACGTCATCACGGCAGCGCTCTATAACTGTATAAGTAAAGCTGTGCTTACATGATGCTGGAAGCAGTGAGTTACAGGTCATCAGGCACGTGGTGAGCAGTGATGTGAAGATGAAGGTATCAGAAACATGAACACAGTTCAGTTTCCACATGCTTCAACAAATTCTGTGCTCCATAAAATCAGATTTCAACACTTCTGTTACAGCTATATTAACTGTCCATTTTCATAAAGCATTCACATATTAGAAAACCTAATGGACCAAATGCTGGTGTTTCAAGCAGAACGCACCTGGCTCTTGATACCCTGTTGAGTAATGAAGGTCTTCAAGGCTCCGGTCTCAGAGTTCTGGGGGTACCCAAAATCCAGGATCTCTACAGTAAGGGCAAAGAGAAAAACTATGACTGTGTTGAACTAATACAGCAGCTCTACAGAATCCATAAAGTCAAAATTGGCATTTTGGTTTTGAACTTTTGGTTCATGTCTGTCAGTGTTGAGGTCATCTAATATACTGGTGTACTCCCAAAAATGTTGTTAAAAATATATATATAATCAGATTTAAATGAAATGCAATTGTTTTTATTTAAATTAAATTAACAGCAACATATTGGCAGATATCTTTTTACTTTTGTAATCATTTTAAGATAATTCAGGAAAGTATCGCATCAGGAAAGTCATCGTACCATCTAGAAGCTCGTAGATCAACACAAAGTTGTTCTTGATGTTCTCCTCGCTGATCTTGCCAAAATAGGCAGTCATGACGTCACACATCGTATAGAGGAACTCAAACACCATGGCTGCATTGACATTCTGCTTGGTAACAGCAGCCAGCCAGATGTTGGAGCGCTTGACGTGGAAGAAGCTGGTGCGGGCGATGTTGGTGACGGGTGAGCGTACCTGCTGACGTGCATGGATCACATTCACACGGAACGCATCCACCGCATTCCTCCTGCAGAAAGACCATCAAGATAGTGTGAGGTTGATGTAGATTTAAATAATCAATAGATGAATTAACTGAAAAAAGTTAGTTGCAGCCTTATTCCAATTCAGGTTGGAATCCAGCTAAATCACTAAATAGTTCTAGTATCATAAGCTCACTGCTAGAGCAAACAACACCTCAACTGAATTGAAACCTCTCAAGTAACTGATTGAAACACACTACATGGAAAGCAACGTGTAATATTGATCCTAATGAGAAATGCAGAAGAGATGTGACTTTTACAGTTGATTTCAATAGTTCTGCATCAGCATATTGCTAGACTAACAACATGATACTCTAAAGGCCAAAGTACACTTAAGGTTTTACGTGTACACGAGGGACCACGTACAATGCCGGTGACGCAAATTTTGTCACCAAAATAGTACGTGTACTATATGCACACCTGATTTTTGTAACCGTGGTTTATGAGAGAGCCACAACTTTAGTTTAAAAGAGTTCAAAGACATTTTTGGCGGTCATAACTTTTGCAGAAAAATACAGCAGATGCTGGTCAAAGATTAAGTTTTTTAGAGCGCATGTGTGGACCGCCTGCGTTCGCGCACGCTATCAAATGGAGTATACTTTGAAAGGCTACGTGTTCGACTCTATGCATACCACCTAACCACCCCCTCTCCCGCAATCTGCCGCATCCCAGTTCCGTGTTCGGAAAGGAAATGAAGTGTACTACGGAAACCCTAAAGGGAATAAATAGCCTACGAGATGGGAGGATAAAAAAAATATTTCAATACTTTTTCTCGCAATTATATCATTGGGTAAGTATAGGCGACTCGACTGTATATAAATTGCGGGCATCAGGGAGCTGATATTGAAACCGCTTTCGATTGCGCGCTCTCATTTTACTTTCACTTTTGAGATTCGCGATCACAGGGACTCTATACTATGGAGCGGCAGTACTTACCACACATTTGACAAGATTATATGTTTGTCATTGTTGCTCAGGATCTGCAAATCATTCGCCATCGTCCTATCAGACATTTCTCCTTACTCTGTGTATGTGGTAAGTGAACTTTCATGTACTGTAATGCAACAGGCTACCGCTAGCAAGCGGCTAACCTTTTAGTGGCTCCGTATTACACGTTATTTGTTTCACGCTTCGTGCACACCCCTAATCCTAATATGCTTTTATGAGCTCTTCGTGAGTTCGCAGGTGGTGAAAATAAAATCTTAAGTACAGGCAACAATGAGCGCGCTTAGTCCAGCAGATGGCATTAGGTGTGTTTGACTTAAAGCGGTGCTGAGCAGACCGATCGGTGAATGGGTGCTTTGATGTCATACACTAATCGGTCTGTGCAGCGCCGCTTTAAGTCAAACACAGCTTTTGTTTGAGGTGTTCGCTGAGTTCCTTCGCAAAATATACATCATTCAACCCAACCAATCAGGTTGTGAACGTATCACTATGCCTTTAGGTTCGCTGTCAAAAATGCCAGTGTGAACACTAATCGGACCAGGACCAAATGTATTGTTTTCTTTTTTGGTCCGGACCAAACAAGCCAAGAGAACCGAACTACAAGTGTGAACGCACCCTAAATCATCCTCACTTCATTTCAGCTGTCTGTTTTTACGCTACATACACCGTTTCAACCCCTCTCTTCTTCTTCCCAGAGTTCCCTTTCCTCCAGGCACAATCGACATGCTCACGCACTGCGACTTCATCTAATGATCTCTCTTTCTCATATAGCCCTGCATACATGCGTGAACACACACACACTGCGACAGTATGAGTTGGCAGCGATGTACAGACCCACTGTATCCATAGCAACCCTTCTCTGAACAGACCATCTCTGTGGTTTTAAAGGATGCCAGGATCTTCCAGAAAGGAACTTGCACGCAATCAGAGGCCTAAAATTCATTCTAAAATTCTAACAGTGATCTAAAATTCATCCCTTTTCTCTTTCTAACAGTGAAAGTATGGCTGAAGGTGGAGATGGAACATTTGACTGCTATTATTCCTACAAAGGCCAATGAAACAAACAGATCTGACATCAGACAGGGTGATTAAGGAAGGAAAAGAAATGCTGAAAAGGAAGCACATCAGCACATCAGATCATGATCATGAACGTGAAGGACACGTATACTTGATGTCTCAACCTAGAGCTACCTCCTGTTGAAGCAATCAAAGCCCATCTTCTCCACACCTGAAACACAACCTCACGTTTCACACGTTACGATGACTTACCCGATGTCATCACGGTAGACACGGGAGATCAGCACCTCGCCCTTGTGGTTGTAGATGAAGAGTCCTCCGATCATGGTGGTGGTCTCTCTCAGTGTTCACGGGCCATGCTGGAAAACTGAAGAAAGAGGCGGAGTCAAGCTGTCAGTCACTGGACAGAGAATGCATTAAAAAATAAGGACACAGATTGTTAATTGTACGTACGCACCATGATAATATTTATTGCATTGAATTTAAATATTCTAATTGTATTTTTTAAATTTGCTGTCTTACAGTCAACAGCTTTGACTTTTAAAAAATTATTTTCAAGGTTAATTGTTAAAAATTTACAAAAAAAAACAACTTCTCTGCCTTAGAGGCTTGACAAGAGATTCAAATGCACAACCACAAAGTTGCTGAAAACAATTTAAGATCTTCCACTAATACCCCACTCCTGTAATCCTCTGTTCACTAGTGCTGTGTTCAAAATATCGATACGTACAGTTATAGAGGCCCTTCATAATGCAGAGGTCAACTGCCTGCTCTGCCAATAGTTAGAAATGGCACTATAGTATGCAGTGTTTAATAAACATCTGTTTTTCTAAATTCTGCTGAGGTGAAATTCAGTGCAGTCATGTATCGTGATATGTATCGTACCGTGGCCTATGTATCGTGATATGTATCGTATCGTGACTTTGCTGGTGATACACAGCCCTACTGTTCACACCTCAGAAAATACCTAAAAATACACCTTACAGAAATCAAGCTAAAAAAACCCCCCTGAAAAATCAATAAGGAAGACAAAACAAAACACGCAATCATACACACAATGAGCAGACCGCACCAACGGACACGCATGTGTTTTTTCATTAGGCTGTGGATCATGTGCCTTTTTGATTTTTAAAAGTAACTTTAGGAAACGTGAGAATAACTTTATATTGTTAGTAATATTTCGAGTTTGAGATGTACACTTACTATACTGATACATAATTTTTTATAAAAAATGAAATGAATAAAATGTAACTCATCAAATATGATAAATTAAGCTGTTGAGGGACATATGCAAACGTTCATATTTTGTCTAAAGGTTGAATAAACTGTTCCAAATTAGTTTTTTCCTATTATTTCATGTCAGGTTTTACATTCCCAGTGACTGACACACA